AACATCAACCATCAACATCACCATCACCATCAACGTCACCATCAACATCAAACGTCACCATCAACGTCACCATCAACATCACCATCACATCACCATCAACATCACCATCAACTCACCATCAAACATCACCATCAACGTCACCATCAACGTCACCATCACGTCACCATCAACGTCACCATCAACGTCACCATCAACGTCACCATCAAACATCACCATCAACATCACCATGAACATCACCATCACCATCAACATCACCATCAACGTCACCATCAACATCACCATCAACATCACCATCAACATCACCATCAACATCACCATCAACGTCACCATCACATCAACGTCACCATCAACATCACCATCAACATCACCATCACATCAACGTCCACCATCAACATCACCATCAAACATCACGTCACCATCAACGTCACCATCAACGTCACCCATCAACGTCACCATCAACGTCACCATCACACGTCACCATCAACTCACCATCAACATCACCATCAACATCACCATCAACATCACGATCAACGTCACCATCAACGTCACCATCAACGTCACCATCAACGTCACCATCAACATCAAACATCAACATCAACGTCACCATCACATCACCATCAACGTCACCATCAACGTCACCATCAACGTCACCATCAACATCAACATCACCATCAATGTCACCATCAACATCACCATCAACATCAACGTCACCATCAACATCACCATCAACATCACCATCAACGTCACCAACACCATCAACATCACCATCAACGTCACCATCAACGTCACCATCAACATCACCATCAACATCACCATCAACATCACCATCAACGTCACCATCAACATCACCATCACGTCACCATCAACATCATCGTCAACCATCAACGTCACCATCAACGTCACCATCAACGTCACCATCAACGTCACCATCAACTTCACCATCAATATCACCATCAACATCACCATCAACGTCACCATCAACGTCACCATCACCAACATCACCATCAACATCACCATCAACATCACCATCAACATCACCATCAACATCAACGTCACCATCAACGTCACCATCAACGTCACCATCACCATCAACATCACCATCAACGTCACCATCAACGTCACCATCAACATCACCATCAACATCACCATCAACATCACCATCAACATCACCATCAACATCAACGTCACCATCAACATCACCATCAACGTCACCATCACCATCAACATCACCATCAACATCACCATCAATGTTACCATCATCATCACCATCAACATCACCATCAACGTCACCATCAACATCACCATCAACGTCACCATCAACATCATCATCAACGTCACCATCAACATCAGCAACATCACCATCAACGTCACCATCAACATCAACGTCACCATCAACATCACCATCAACATCACCATCAACATCACCATCAACATCACCATCAACGTTACCATCAACATCACCATCAACGTCACCATCAACGTCACCATCAACATCACCATCAACATCACCATCAACATCACCATCAACATCAACGTCACCATCAACGTCACCATCAACATCACCATCAACGTCACCATCAACATCAGCAACATCACCATCAACGTCACCATCAACATCAACATCACCATCAACATCACCATCAACATCACCATCAACATCACCATCAACGTCACCATCAACATCACCATCAACGTCACCATCAACATCACCATCAACATCACCATCAACATCACCATCAACATCAACGTCACCATCAACGTCACCATCAACATCACCATCAACATCACCATCAACATCACCATCAACGTCACCATCAACGTCACCATCACCAACATCACCATCAACATCACCATCAACATCACCATCAACATCACCATCAACATCACCATCAACATCACCATCAACATCACCATCAACGTCACCATCAACGTCACCATCAACATCACCATCAACATCACCATCAACATCACCATCAACATCACCATCAACATCAACGTCACCATCAACATCACCATCAACGTCACCATCACCATAAACATCACCATCAACATCACCATCAACGTCACCATCATCATCACCATCAACATCACCATCAACGTCACCATCAACATCACCATCAACGTCACCATCAACATCACCATCAACGTCACCATCAACATCAGCAACATCACCATCAACGTCACCATCAACGTCACCATCAACATCACCATCAACATCACCATCAACATCACCATCAACGTCACCATCAAAATCACCATCAACGTCACCATCAACGTCACCATCAACGTCACCATCAACGTCACCATCAACATCACCATCAACATCAACGTCACCAAAAACATCACCATCAACATCACCATCAACGTCACCATCAACGTCACCATCAACATCACCATCAACGTCACCATCAACGTCAACATCAACATCAACGTCACCATCAACGTTACCATCAACATCACCGTCACCATCAACGTCACCATCAACATCACCATCAACATCACCATCAACATCACCATCAACATCACCATCAACGTCACCATCAACGTCACCATCAACGTCACCATCACCATCAACGTCACCATCAACATCACCATCAACATCACCATCAACATCACCATCAACATCACCATCAACATCACCATCAACATCACCATCAACGTCACCATCAACGTCACCATCAACGTCACCATCAACGTCACCATCAACGTCACCATCAACGTCACCATCAACGTCACCATCAACATCACCATCAACATCACCGTCACCATCAACGTCACCGTCAACATCAACGTCACCATCAACGTCACCATCAACATCACCATCAACATCACCATCAACATCACCATCAACGTCACCATCAACATCACCATCAACGTCACCATCAACGTCACCATCAACGTCACCATCAACGTCACCATCAACGTCACCATCAACGTCACCATCAACATCACCATCAACATCACCATGAACATCACCATCACCATCAACATCACCATCAACGTCACCATCAACATCACCATCAACATCACCATCAACATCACCATCAACATCACCATCAACGTCACCATCAACATCAACGTCACCATCAACATCACCATCAACATCACCATCAACATCAACGTCACCATCAACATCACCATCAACATCAACGTCACCATCAACGTCACCATCAACGTCACCATCAACGTCACCATCAACGTCACCATCAACGTCACCATCAACATCACCATCAACATCACCATCAACATCACCATCAACATCACCATCAACGTCACCATCAACGTCACCATCAACGTCACCATCAACGTCACCATCAACATCACCATCAACATCAACGTCACCATCAACATCACCATCAACGTCACCATCAACGTCACCATCAACGTCACCATCAACATCAACATCACCATCAATGTCACCATCAACATCACCATCAACATCAACGTCACCATCAACATCACCATCAACATCACCATCAACGTCACCAACACCATCAACATCACCATCAACATCACCATCAACATCACCATCAACATCATCATCAACATCACCATCAACGTCACCGTCACCATCAACATCACCATCAACGTCACCATCAACATCACCATCAACATCACCATCAACATCACCATCAACATCACCATCAACATCAACGTCACCATCAACATCACCATCAACGTCACCATCAACATCACCATCAACGTCACCATCAACGTCACCATCAACGTCATCACCAACGTCACCATCAACATCACCATCGTCATCACCATCGTCATCACCACCATCGTCATCACCATCAATGTCACCATCAACATCACCATCGTCATCACCATCATCAACATCACCATCGTCATCATCATCAACATCACCATCAAAATCACCACTGTCATCATCGTGATCATCGTCATCATCATCACCATCATCATCATCGTCATCACCGTCGTCACCACCGTCATCACCATCGTCATCACCATCGTCATCACCATCACCATCACCATCGTCATCATCACCATCGTCATCACCATCAACGTCACCATCAACATCACCATCGTCATCACCATCATCAACATCACCATCGTCATCATCATCAACATCACCATCAAAATCACCACTGTCATCATCGTCGTCATCATCATCGTCGTCACCATCATCACGATCATCATGACCAACATCAGCGCCCGTAGTGGGTGAGCGAGTTAGCGAGTGAGCGGGCGAGTGGGTGAGCAGGTGAGCGAGTTGGTGAGTGAGCGGGTGAGCAGGTGAGCGAGTTGGTGAGTGAGCAGGTGAGCGAGTTAGTGAGCGAGCGGGCGAGCAGGTGAACGAGTTGGCGAGTGAGCGGGTGAGCGAGTTAGCGAGTGTGTGGGCGAGCGGGTGAGCGAGTTGGTGAGTGAGCGGGTGAGCAGGTGAGCGAGTTAGCGAGTGTGTGGGCGAGCGGGTGAGCGAGTTGGTGAGTGAGCGGGTGAGCAGGTGAGCGAGTTAGCGAGTGTGTGGGCGAGCGGGTGAGCGAGTTGGCGAGTGAGCGGGTGAGCAGGTGAGCGAGTTAGCGAGTGTGTGGGCGAGCGGGTGAGCGAGTTGGTGAGTGAGCGGGTGAGCAGGTGAGCGAGTTAGCGAGTGTGTGGGCGAGCGGGTGAGCGAGTTGGCGAGTGAGCGGGCGAGCGGGTGAGCGGGTGAACGAGCGGGTGAGCGGGTGAACGAGCGGGTGAACGAGCGGGTGAACGAGCGGGTGAGCGAGCGGGTGAACGAGCGGGTGAACGAGCGGGTGAGCAGGTGAGCGAGTTGGTGAGTGAGCGGGTGAGCGAGCGGGTGAGCGAGCGGACTTCTCACCACAGGAGTGATCGAAGGGCACGTTGTGGGGGACGATGACAAAATCGTCCTCGGAGCAAGAGGCGCGTCCACCACCACCACCTGCACCACCACCCCCACCACCACCACCACCTGCACCACCACCACCACCACCGCCACCACCGCCACCACCGCCACCACCACCACCACCACCGCCCCCACCGCCACCGCTGCTGCCCAGCAAGGGTGGGGGCCCGGAGGGGTGGTGGAGGGGGAGGGGCTCCCCCCCGCCCACGGCCCTCCCCCCACCGGTGGGGGGGGAGCCGCCACTGCCCACCGATCGCTGCAGCTCAGAGACGGACTGGGGGGGAGGGGGGAGGGGGGAGGGGGGAGGGGGGAGGGGGGGGGAGGGGGGAGGGGGGAGAGGTGTTGCTGCTATAGGGGTGAGTGGTGAGTGAGTGGTGAGTGGTGAGTGAGTGAGTGGTGAGTGAGTGGTGAGTGAGTGGTGAGTGAGTGGTGAGTGAGTGGAGAGTGAGTGGTGAATGGCGAGTGAGTGAGTGGTGAGTGAGTGGTGAGTGAGTGGTGAGTGAGTGGTCAGTGAGTGGTGAGTGAGTGGTGAATGGCGAGTGAGTGAGTGGTGAGTGAGTGGTGAGTGAGTGGTGAGTGAGTGGTGAGTGGGTGAGTGAGTAACATGGGCTAGAGAAGAGATGGATTGATGTGTGAGTGGGTGAGTGAGTGACTGAATGGGTGAGTGAATGAGTAGGGTGAGTGAGTGGTGAGTGAGTGGTGAGTGAGTGGCGAGTGGTGAGTGAGTAGGGTGAGTGAGTGAGTAGGGTGAGTGAGTGAGTAGGGTGAGTGAGTGAGTGGGTGAGTGGTGAGTGAGTGGTGAGTGAGTGGTGAGCGAGTGGTGAGTGAATGAGTGAGTGGTGAGTGGCGAGTGAGTGGTGAGTGAGTGGTGAGTGAGTGGTGAGTGAATGAGTGAGTGAGTGAGTGAATGAGTGAGTGGTGAGTGGCGAGTGAGTAGTGAGCGAGTGGTGAGCGAGTGGTGAGCGAGTGGTGAGTGAGTGGTGAGTGAGTGGTGAGTGAGTGAGTGGTGAGTGAGTGGTGAGTGAGTGGTGAGCGAGTGGTGAGTGAGTGGTGAGTGGCGAGTGAGTGAGTGGTGAGTGAGTGATGAGTGAGTGGTGAGTGAGTGAGTGAGTGAATGAGTGAGTGGTGAGTGAGTGAGTAGTGAGCGAGTGGTGAGCGAGTGGTGAGCGAGTGGTGAGTGAGTGGTGAGTGAGTGAGTGGTGAGTGAGTGGTGAGTGAGTGGTGAGCGAGTGGTGAGCGAGTGAGTGGTGAGTGAGTGAGTGAGTGAATGAGTGAGTGGTGAGTGAGTGAGTAGTGAGCGAGTGGCAAGTGAGTGGTGAGTGAGTGGTGAGTGAGTGAGTGGTGAGTGAGTGGTGAGTGAGTAGTGAGTGAGTGGTGAGTGAGTGGTGAGTGAGTAGTGAGTGAGTGGTGAGTGAGTGAGTGGTGAGTGAGTGAGTGAGTGGTGAGTGAGTGAGTGAGTGAATGAGTGAGTGAATGAGTGAGTGGTGAGTGAGTGAGTGGTGAGTGGTGAGTGAGTGAGTGAGTGAATGAGTGAGTGGTGAGTGAGTGGTGAGTGAGTGGTGAGTGAGTGAGTGAATGAGTGAGTGGTTAGTGAATGAGTGAGTGGTGAGTGAGTGGTGACTGAGTGGTGAGCGAGTGGTGAGCGAGTGGTGAGCGAGTGGTGAGCGAGTGAGTGGTGAGCGAGTGGTGAGCGAGTGGTGAGTGAGTGGTGAGCGAGTGGTGAGTGAGTGAATGAGTGAGTGAATGAGTGAGTGAGTGGTGAGTGAATGAGTGAGTGGTGAGTGAGTGGTGAGTGAGTGGTGAGTGAGTGGTGAGCGAGTGGTGAATGGCGAGTGAGTGAGTGGTGAGTGAGTGAGTGGTGAGTGAGTGATGAGTGAGTGGTGAGTGAATGAGTGAGTAGTGAGTGAGTGGTGAGTGAGTGGTGAGTGGTGAGTGAGTGGTGAGTGAGTCATGAGTGAGTGGTGAGTGAATGAGTGAGTGGTGAGTGAGTGGTGAGTGAGTAGTGAGCGAGTGGTGAGTGAGTGGTGAGTGAATGAGTGAGTGGTGAGTGAGTGATGAGTGAGTGGTGAGTGAGTGAGTGGTGAGTGAGTAGTGAGTGAGTGGTGAGTGAGTGGTGAGTGAGTGAGTTAGTGAATGAGTGAGTGGTGAGTGAATGAGTGAGTGGTGAGTGAGTGGTGAGTGAATGAGTGAGCGAGTGAGTGAGTGGTGAGTGAGTGAGTGGTGAGTGAATGAGTGAGTGGTGAGTGAATGAGTGAGTGGTGAGTGAGTGAGTGGTGAGTGAATGAGTGAGTGGTGAGTGAATGAGTGAGTGGTGAGTGAATGAGTGAGTGGTGAGTGAGTGAATGAGTGAGTGAATGAGTGAGTGGTGAGTGAGTGAGTGGTGAGTGAGTGGTGAGTGAGTGGTGAGCGAATGGTGAGTGAGTGGTGAGTGAGTGGTGAGTGAATGAGTGAGTGGTGAGTGGTGAGCGAGTGGTGAGTGAGTAGTGAGCGAGTGGTGAGTGAGTAGTGAGTGAGTGGTGAGTGGGTGAGTGAGTGGTAAGTGAGTGAGTGGTGAGTGAATGAGTGGTGAGTGAGTGGTGAGTGAGTGAATGAGTGAGTGGTGAGCGAGTGAGTGGCGAGTGAGTGAGTGGCGAGTGAGTGAGTGAGTGGTGAGTGAGTGAGTGAATGAGTGAGTGGTGAGTGAGTGAGTGAGTGAATGAGTGAGTGGTGAGTGAGTGAGTGGTGAGTGAGTGAGTGGTGAGCGAGTGGTGAGTGAGCGAGTGGTGAGTGAGTGAATGAGTGAGTGAATGAGTGAGTGAGTGGTGAGTGAGTGGTGAGCGAGTGGTGAGCGAGTGAGTGGTGAGTGAGTGAGTGAGTGAATGAGTGAGTGAGTAGTGAGCGAGTGGCAAGTGCGTGGTGAGTGAGTGGTGAGCGAGTGGTGAGCGAGTGGTGAGCGAGTGAGTGGTGAGCGAGTGGTGAGCGAGTGGTGAGTGAGTGGTGAGCGAGTGGTGAGTGAGTGAATGAGTGAGTGAATGAGTGAGTGAGTGGTGAGTGAATGGTGAGTGAGTGGTGAGTGAGTGGTGAGTGAGTGGTGAGCGAGTGGTGAATGGCGAGTGAGTGAGTGGTGAGTGAGTGAGTGGTGAGTGAGTGATGAGTGAGTGGTGAGTGAATGAGTGAGTAGTGAGTGAGTGGTGAGTGAGTGGTGAGTGAGTGGTGAGTGAGTGATGAGTGAGTGGTGAGTGAATGAGTGAGTGGTGAGTGAGTGGTGAGTGAGTAGTGAGCGAGTGGTGAGTGAGTGGTGAGTGAATGAGTGAGTGGTGAGTGAGTGATGAGTGAGTGGTGAGTGAGTGAGTGAGTGGTGAGTGAGTGGTGAGTGAGTGGTGAGTGAGTGGTGAGTGAGTGAGTTAGTGAATGAGTGAGTGGTGAGTGAATGAGTGAGTGGTGAGTGAGTGGTGAGTGAATGAGTGAGCGAGTGAGTGGTGAGTGAGTGAGTGAGTGGTGAGTGAATGAGTGAGTGGTGAGTGAATGAGTGAGTGGTGAGTGAGTGAGTGAGTGGTGAGTGAATGAGTCAGTGGTGAGTGAATGAGTGAGTGGTGAGTGAGTGGTGAGTGAGTGAATGAGTGAGTGAATGAGTGAGTGGTGAGTGAGTGAGTGGTGAGCGAGTGGTGAGTGAGTGGTGAGTGAGTGGTGAGTGAATGAGTGAGTGGTGAGTGGTGAGCGAGTGGTGAGTGAGTAGTGAGCGAGTGGTGAGTGAGTAGTGAGTGAGTGGTGAGTGGGTGAGTGAGTGGTGATTGAGTGAGTGGTGAGTGAGGGAGTGAGTGAGTGGTGAGTGAGTGAATGAGTAAGTGGTGAGCGAGTGAGTGGCGAGTGAGTGAGTGGCGAGTGAGTGAGTGAGTGGTGAGTGAGTGAGTGAATGTGTGAGTGGTGAGTGAGTGAGTGAATGAGTGAGTGAATGAGTGAGTGGTGAGTGAGTGAGTGGTGAGTGAGTGAGTGAGTGGTGAGCGAGTGGTGAGTGAGCGAGTGGTGAGTGAGTTAATGAGTGAGTGAATGAGTGAGTGAGTTAGTGAATGAGTGAGTGGTGAGTGAATGAGTGAGTGAGTGGTGAGTGAGTGGTGAGCGAGTGGTGAGCGAGTGAGTGGTGAGCGAGTGAGTGGTGAGTGAGTGAGTGAATGAGTGAGTGGTGAGTGAGCGAGTGGTGAGCGAGTGGTGAGTGAGTGGTGAGTGAGTGGTGAGTGAATGAGTGAGTGGTGAGTGAGTGAGTGGTGAGTGAGTGAGTGAGTGGTGAGCGAGTGGTGAGTGAGCGAGTGGTGAGTGAGCGAGTGGTGAGTGAGTGAATGAGTGAGTGAATGAGTGAGTGAGTTAGTGAATGAGTGAGTGGTGAGTGAATGAGTGAGTGAGTGGTGAGTGAGTGAGTGAGTGGTGAGCGAGTGGTGAGTGAGCGAGTGGTGAGTGAGTGAATGAGTGAGTGAATGAGTGAGTTAGTGAATGAGTGAGTGGTGAGTGAATGAGTGAGTGAGTGGTGAGTGAGTGGTGAGCGAGTGGTGAGTGAGTGGTGAGCGCCCTACTCGTGGTGAGGTGAGTTGAGAGCAGGAGGAGGAAGAGGTGGAGGCGTTGCTGCTGTAGCTACTCCCAGAGATGCAGCCAGCTACAGTGGGGACGCTGATGGGCACAGCTGCACACAGACACAGACAAAGCTCCCCCGTGTAGCCCACTCACGCTGTAGGGGCAAGTGCTGCTAGTGGCGAGTAGCACCACCTATGATGTACACACACAGACAAAGCTCCCCCAGGTAGCCTCTAGCAGGGCTGTAGGGGCAAGCGCTGCTAGGGGCGAGTAGCACCACCTATGATGTACACACACAGACAAAGCTCCCCCAGGTAGCCTCTAGCAGGGCTGTAGGGGCAAGCGCTGCTAGGGGCGAGTAGCACCACCTATGATGCACACACACAGACAAAGCTCCCCCAGGTAGCCTCTAGCAGGGCTGTAGGGGCAGGTGCTGTTAGTGGCGAGTAGCACCACCTATGATGTACACACACAGACAAAGCTCCCCCAGGTAGCCTCTAGCAGGGCTGGGTTGGCCGACTGAGATGAGCGGTCGATGCACCACCTGTGCCCCATACTTGTGCCAACTCGCTGCGTTTTATCTGCCCGGCGCTCCGCTCGTTGTTGTGAGCGTCGCTCCTCCGCCCTCCGTTGTTGCTGCTGGAGGGCGACTGCCTCCAGCTGCCCAGTAGCCTCAGGGTGCACCTAGCCTGGCTGATCTTGACAATGCTGGTACCAGTCATAGGCAAGTTCACTTAGCTTCATGTCCCCATGTACCACATCACTCCGTCTCTTCTCTAGCCGGTGTTACTCACTCACCCACCCACCCACTCACTCACCCACTCACTCACCCACTCACCCATCACTCCATCTCTTCTCTAGCCCGTGTCACTCACTCACCCACCCACTCACCCACTCACTCACTCACTCACCCACTCACTCACTCACCCACTCACCCATCACTCCATCTCTTCTCTAGCCTGTGTTACTCACTCACTCACCCACTCACTCACCCACTCACCCATCACTTCGTCTCTTCTCTAGCCCATGTCAGTCACTCACTCACCCACTCACTCACTCACCCACTCACTAACTCACCCACCCACTCACTCACCCACTCACTCACTCACCCACCCACTAACACATCACTCCGTCTCTTCTCTAGCCCATGTCAGTCACTCACTCACCCACTCACCCACCCACTCACACACTCACACATCACTCCATCTCTTCTCTAGCCCGTGTTACTCACTCACTCACTGACCCACTCACTTACCCACTCACCCACTCACTCACTCACCCACTCACCCACTCACTCACCCACCCACTCACTCCATCTCTTCTCTAGCCCATGTCACTCACCCACTCACCCACCCACTCACCCACCCACCCACCCACCACTCCATCTCTTCTCTAGCCCGTGTCACTCACTCACCCACCCACCCACTCACTAACTCACCCACCCACTCACACATCACTCCATCTCTTTTCTAGCCCGTGTTACTCACTCACTCACTCACCCACCCACTCACCCACTCACTCACCCATTCACTCAATCACCCACCCACCCACTAACACATCACTCCATCTATCTCTTCTCTAGCCCGTGTCACTCACTCACCCACCCACCCACTCACCCACTCACTCACCCACTCACTCACCCACTCACTCACCCACTCACTCACCCACTCACTCCATCTCTTCTCTAGCCCGTGTTACTCACTCACCCACTCACCCACTCACTCACCCATTCACTCAATCACCCACCCACCCACTAACACATCACTCCATCTATCTCTTCTCCAGCCCGTGTTACTCACTCACCCACTCACCCATTACTCCATCTCTTCTCTAGCCCGTGTTACTCACTCACCCACTCACCCATCACTCCATCTCTTCTCTAGCCCGTGTTACTCACCCACTCACTCACCCACCCATTCACCCACTCACCCATCACTCCATATCTTCTCTAGCCCGTGTTACTCATCCACTCACTCACCCACCTATTCACCCACTCACCCATTACTCCATCTCTTCTCTAGCCCGTGTTACTCACTCACTTCTCTAGCCCGTGTCACTCACTCACTCACCCAACCACCCACCCACTCACCCACCCAATCACCCACTCACCCATCACTCCATCTCCTCTCTAGCCCGTGTTACTCACCCACTCACCCACCCACTCACCCATCACTCCATCTCTTCTCTAGCCCGTGTTACTCATCACTCACTCACCCACTCACCCACCCACTCACCCACTCACCCATCACTCCATCTCTTCTCTAGCCCGTGTTACTCACTCACCCACTCACCCATCACTCCATCTCTTCTCTAGCCCGTGTTACTCACTCACCCACTCACTCACCCACTCACCCATTACTCCATCTCTTCTCTAGCCCGTGTTACTCACCCACTCACTCACCCACCCACCCACTCACCCACCCACTCACCCACCCACCCACTCACCCACTCACCCATCACTCCATCTCTTCTCTAGCCCGTGTTACTCACCCACTCACCCACCCACTCACCCATCACTCCATCTCTTCTCTAGCCCGTGTTACTCGCTCACTCACTCACCCACTCACCCATCACTCCATCTCTTCTCTAGCCCGTGTTACTCACTCACCCACTCACCCATCACTCCATCTCTTCTCTAGCCCGTGTTACTCACTCACCCACTCACCCATTACTCCATCTCTTCTCTAGCCCGTGTTACTCACCCACTCACTCACCCACTCACCCACCCATTCACCCACTCACCCATTACTCCATCTCTTCTCTAGCCCGTGTTACTCACTCACTTCTCTAGCCCATGTCACTAACTCACTCACTCACCCACCCACTCATCCACCCACTCACCCACTCACCCATCACTCCATCTCTTCTCTAGCCCTTGTTACTCACTCACCCACTCACCCACCCACTCACCCACCCACCCACCCACTCACCCACCCACCCACCCACTCACCCACCCACCCACTCACCCACCCACCCACCCACACACAGCTGGCTGTACACGCACACAGCAACACACAGCAGCAACAGCAGCAGGAGAGCTGAACTCACATTTTTTCACGGTGCTCAAGTTGCTATCCAGGAAGGCGTGCGTGAAGAATTCATCTATACACACACACACACGTACAAGAACACAAACACATGCATGTACACACACACACATGCATGTACACACACACATGCATGTACACACACACGTACAAGACCACAAACAAATGCATGTACACACACACACATGCATGTACACACACACACATGCATGTACACACACACGTACAAGACCACACACACACGTACAAGAACACGCACAAAGACAAAGACCCAGCCATCGCAGCCTTGCCTGTCGGAGGAGCTCACCGATGGGACTGTGTCCAGATCCTTCAAGGATTTGTGAGCTCCTCACACAATCCAGCCTGCAGGTTAAACCCAGGGCGGATCGTAGGCAGGGCCAGCCTGAATGTTTCTAACCGGCGAAGATGTTCCATTAAGGGGGTCCACGTTTCTCAAGCGTAAAAAATGGAGGGAATGACCGTGGCCGAGAAGACCCGAAGCTTCGTGCGGAGCGACAGAGCAGGTAGCTTCCACATAGCAGCAGCGTCACGCAGATACACACTGACACAGATACACACACATACACACACACACTGACACAGATACACACACATACACACACACAGACACAGATACACACACACTGACACAGATACACACACATACACACAGACACACACACATACACACACACTGACACACACTGACACAGATACACACACACTGACACAGATACACACACACTGACACAGATACACACACACAGACACACACACTGACACAGATACACACACACACACAGACACACACACTGACACACACTGACACAGATACACACACACTGACACTGACACACACACACATACACACACACTGACACACATACACACACATACACACAGACACACACACTGACACACACTGACACAGATACACACTGACACTGACACAGATACACACACATAGACACACACACAGATACACACTGACACTGACACAGATACACACACATACACACAGACACACACACAGAGACACAGATACACACACACTGACACAGATACACACACAGAGACACAGATACACACACACTGACACAGATACACACACACTGACACAGATACACACACATACACAGACACACACATACACAGACACACACACTGACACAGATACATACACTGACACAGACACACACACTGACACAGATACACACACACTGACACAGATACACACACATACACACACACTGACACAGATACATACACACTGACACAGATACACACACACACACTGACACAGATACACACACATACACAGACACACACACTGACACAGATACATACACACACACAGACACACACACTGACACAGATACACACACACTGACACAGATACACACACTGACACAGATACACACACATAGACACACACACTGACACACACTGACACACACTGACACAGATACACACACACTGACACAGATACACACACACTGACACAGATACACACACATACACACAGACACACACACTGACACACACTGACACAGACACACACATAGACACACAGACACACACACTGACACACACTGACACAGACACACACACATAGACACACAGACACACACACTGACACAGATACACACACATAGACACACACTGACACACTGACACAGATACACACTGACACACACTGACACAGATACACACACACAGACACAGATACACACACACTGACACAGATACACACTGACACAGACACAGACACTGACACAGATACACACACATAGACACACAGACACACACACTGACACAGATACACACACACTGACACAGATACACACACATACACACACAGACACACACACTGACACAGATACACACACATACACACATACACACACACTGACACACACTGACACAAAAACATACACACAGACACACACACTGACACACACTGACACAGATACACACACACTGACACAGATACACACACATACACACACACACTGACACACACTGACACAGATACACACCTGTGTCAGTGTGTATCTGTATCAGTGTGTATCTGTGTCAGTGTGTGTCTGTGTGTGCGTCTGTGTCAGTGTGTATCTGTGTCTGTGTCAGTGTGTGTCTGTATCAGTGTGTATCTGTGTCTGTGTCAGTGTGTATCTGTGTCTGTGTGTCTGTGTCAGTGTGTATCTGTGTCAGTGTGTGTCTGTGTGTGTCTGTGTCAGTGTGTATCTGTGTCTGTGTGTGTCTGTGTCAGTGTGTATCTGTGTCAGTGTGTATCCGTGTCAGTGTGTATCCGTGTCAGTGTGTATCTGTGTCAGTGTGTATCCGTGTCAGTGTGTATCCGTGTCAGTGTGTATCTGTGTCAGTGTGTGTCTGTGTGTCTGTGTCAGTGTGTATCCGTGTCAGTGTGTATCTGTGTCAGTGTGTGTCTGTGTGTCTGTGTCAGTGTGTATCTGTATCAGTGTGTGTCTGTGTGTGTGTCTGTGTCAGTATGTATCTGTATCCGTGTCAGTGTGTATCTGTGTCAGTGTGTGTCTGTGTGTCTGTGTCAGTGTGTATCCGTGTCAGTGTGTATCTGTGTCAGTGTGTGTCTGTGTGTGTGTCTGTGTCAGTGTGTATCTGTATCCGTGTCAGTGTGTATCTGTGTCAGTGTGTGTCTGTGTGTCTGTGTCAGTGTGTATCCGTGTCAGTGTGTATCTGTGTCAGTGTGTGTCTGTGTGTCTGTGTCAGTGTGTATCCGTGTCAGTGTGTATCTGTGTCAGTGTGTGTCTGTGTGTCTGTGTCAGTGTGTATCTGTATCAGTGTGTCTGTGTGTGTGTCTGTGTCAGTGTGTATCTGTATCCGTGTCAGTGTGTATCTGTATCCGTGTCAGTGTGTATCTGTGTCAGTGTGTGTCTGTGTGTCTGTGTCAGTGTGTATCCGTGTCAGTGTGTATCTGTGTCAGTGTGTGTCTGTGTGTCTGTGTCAGTGTGTATCCGTGTCAGTGTGTATCTGTGTCAGTGTGTGTCTGTGTGTCTGTGTCAGTGTGTATCTGTATCAGTGTGTGTCTGTGTGTGTGTCTGTGTCAGTGTGTATCTGTATCCGTGTCAGTGTGTATCTGTGTCAGTGTGTGTCTGTGTGTCTGTGTCAGTGTGTATCCGTGTCAGTGTGTATCTGTGTCAGTGTGTGTCTGTGTGTGTGTCTGTGTCAGTGTGTATCTGTGTCTGTGTCAGTGTGTATCTGTGTCAGTGTGTGTCAGTGTGTGTGTCTGTGTCAGTGTGTGTCTGTGTCAGTGTGTGTCTGTGTGTCTGTGTCAGTGTGTAACCGTGTCAGTGTGTATCTGTGTCAGTGTGTATCTGTGTGTGTATCTGTGTCAGTGTGTGTCTGTGTGTATCTGTGTCAGTGTGTATCTGTGTCAGTGTGTATGTCTGTGTGTGTATGTCTGTGTGTGTATCTGTGTGTGTATCTGTGTGTGTATCTGTGTCAGTGTGTCTGTGTGTGTGTATCTGTGTCACTGTGTCTGTGTGTGTGTATCTGTGTCACTGTGTCTGTGTGTATCTGTGTGTGTATCTGTGTCAGTGTGTATCTGTATCTGTGTGTGTATCTGTGTGTGTATCTGTGTGTGTATCTGTGTCAGTGTGTATCTGTGTGTGTGTATCTGTGTGTGTGTATCTGTGTGTGTATCTGTGTCAGTGTGTGTCTGTGTGTGTGTGTCTGTGTCAGTGTGTGTCTGTGTCAGTGTGTGTCTGTGTGTGTGTGTCTGTGTGTGTGTATCTGTGTGTGTGTATCTGTGTGTGTATCTGTGTCAGTGTGTGTCTGTGTGTGTGTGTCTGTGTCAGTGTGTGTCTGTGTGTGTGTGTCTGTGTCAGTGTGTGTCTGTGTGTGTGTGTCTGTGTCAGTGTGTGTCTGTGCGTGTGTGTCTGTGTCAGTGTGTGTGTCTGTGTCAGTGTGTGTCTGTGTGTGTGTGTCTGTGTCAGTGTGTGTCTGTGTGTGTGTGTCTGTGTCAGTGTGTGTCTGTGTGTGTGTGTCTGTGTCAGTGTGTGTGTGTGTGTCTGTGTCAGTGTGTGTCTGTGTGTGTGTGTCTGTGTCAGTGTGTATCTGTGTGTGTATCTGTGTCAGTGTGTATCTGTGTGTGTGTGTCTGTGTCAGTGTGTGTCTGTGTGTGTGTGTCTGTGTCAGTGTGTGTCTGTGTGTGTGTATCTGTGTCAGTGTGTGTCTGTGTGTGTGTCTGTGTCAGTGTGTATCCGTGTCAGTGTGTATCTGTGTCAGTGTGTGTCTGTGTGTGTGTCTGTGTCAGTGTGTATCTGTATCCGTGTCAGTGTGTATCTGTGTCAGTGTGTGTCTGTGTGTCTGTGTCAGTGTGTATCCGTGTCAGTGTGTATCTGTGTCAGTGTGTGTCTGTGTGTGTGTCTGTGTCAGTGTGTATCTGTGTCTGTGTCAGTGTGTATCTGTGTCAGTGTGTGTCAGTGTGTGTGTCTGTGTCAGTGTGTGTCTGTGTCAGTGTGTGTCTGTGTGTCTGTGTCAGTGTGTAACCGTGTCAGTGTGTATCTGTGTCAGTGTGTATCTGTGTCAGTGTGTGTCTGTGTGTATCTGTGTCAGTGTGTATCTGTGTCAGTGTGTATCTGTGTCAGTGTGTATGTCTGTGTGTGTATGTCTGTGTGTGTATCTGTGTGTGTATCTGTGTGTGTATCTGTGTCAGTGTGTCTGTGTGTGTGTATCTGTGTCACTGTGTCTGTGTGTGTGTATCTGTGTCACTGTGTCTGTGTGTATCTGTGTGTGTATCTGTGTCAGTGTGTATCTGTATCTGTGTGTGTATCTGTGTCAGTGTGTATCTGTGTGTGTGTATCTGTGTCAGTGTGTATCTGTGTGTGTGTATCTGTGTGTGTGTATCTGTGTGTGTATCTGTGTCAGTGTGTGTCTGTGTCAGTGTGTGTCTGTGTCAGTGTGTGTCTGTGTGTGTGTCTGTGTGTGTGTGTCTGTGTGTGTGTATCTGTGTGTGTGTATCTGTGTGTGTGTCTGTGTCAGTGTGTGTCTGTGTGTGTGTGTCTGTGTCAGTGTGTGTCTGTGTGTGTGTGTCTGTGTCAGTGTGTGTCTGTGTGTGTGTGTCTGTGTCAGTGTGTGTCTGTGTGTGTGTGTCTGTGTCAGTGTGTGTGTCTGTGTCAGTGTGTGTCTGTGTGTGTGTGTCTGTGTCAGTGTGTGTCTGTGTGTGTGTGTCTGTGTCAGTGTGTGTCTGTGTGTGTGTGTCTGTGTCAGTGTGTGTGTGTGTGTCTGTGTCAGTGTGTGTTTGTGTGTGTGTGTCTGTGTCAGTGTGTATCTGTGTGTGTATCTGTGTCAGTGTGTATCTGTGTGTGTGTGTCTGTGTCAGTGTGTGTCTGTGTGTGTGTGTCTGTGTCAGTGTGTGTCTGTGTGTGTGTATCTGTGTCAGTGTGTGTCTGTGTGTGTGTCTGTGTCAGTGTGTATCTGTGTCAGTGTGTATCTGTGTGTGTATCTGTGTCAGTGTGTATCTGTGTCAGTGTGTATCTGTGTCAGTGTGTGTCTGTGTGTGTGTATCTGTGTCAGTGTGTGTCTGTGTGTGTGTCTGTGTCAGTGTGTATCTGTGTGTGTATCTGTGTCAGTGTGTATCTGTGTCAGTGTGTGTCTGTGTGTGTGTATCTGTGTCAGTGTGTGTCTGTGTGTGTGTCTGTGTCAGTGTGTATCTGTGTGTGTATCTGTGTCAGTGTGTATCTGTGTCAGTGTGTATCTGTGTCAGTGTGTATCTGTGTCAGTGTGTGTCTGTGTGTGTATCTGTGTCAGTGTGTGTCTGTGTGTGTGTCTGTGTCAGTGTGTGTCTGTGTGTGTGTATCTGTGTCAGTGTGTGTATGTGTCAGTGTGTATCTGTGTCAGTGTGTATCTGTGTGTGTCTGTGTCAGTGTGTGTCTGTGTGTGTGTATCTGTGTCAGTGTGTATCTGTGTGTGTCTGTGTCAGTGTGTATCTGTGTGTGTGTCTGTGTGTGTGTGTCTGTGTGTGTGTGTCTGTGTCAGTGTGTGTCTGTGTGTATCTGTGTCAGTGTGTGTCTGTGTGTGTGTCTGTGTCAGTGTGTGTCTGTGTGTGTGTGTCTGTGTCAGTGTGTATCTGTGTGTGTGTCTGTGTGTGTATCTGTGTGTGTATCTGTGTCAGTGTGTATCTGTGTGTGTGTCTGTGTGTGTGTATCTGTGTGTGTATCTGTGTCAGTGTGTATCTGTGTCAGTGTGTATCTGTGTCAGTGTGTATCTGTGTCAGTGTGTGTCTGTGTGTGTGTGTCTGTGTGTGTGTATCTGTGTGTGTGTCTGTGTGTGTGTGTCTGTGTCAGTGTGTGTCTGTGTGTGTGTATCTGTGTCAGTGTGTGTCTGTGTCAGTGTGTGTCTGTGTGTGTGTATCTGTGTGTGTGTCTGTGTGTGTGTATCTGTGTGTGTGTCTGTGTGTGTATCTGTGTCAGTGTGTGTCTGTGTGTGTATCTGTGTCAGTGTGTGTCTGTGTGTGTGTCTGTGTCAGTGTGTATCTGTGTGTGTGTCTGTGTGTGTATCTGTGTCAGTGTGTGTCTGTGTGTGTGTGTCTGTGTGTGTGTGTCTGTGTGTGTGTATCTGTGTGTGTGTATCTGTGTGTGTCTGTGTCAGTGTGTGTCTGTGTGTGTGTATCTGTGTCAGTGTGTGTCAGTGTGTGTCTGTGTGTGTGTATCTGTGTCAGTGTGTGTCTGTGTTTTTCTGTGTGGGCGGCTCTGCCTCTCTGTCTTTACCGAATTCCATGCGGTCTCGCTGGTTACGCTTGAGCAGCCGCAGCAGCAAGTCACTGAGATGCGGAGACGTCTCACTGGGGATACTGCACAGTGACACACACACAGTGACACACAGTGACACACACACACACAGTGACACACACAGTGACACACACAGTGACACACACACACAGTGACACACACAGTGACACACACAGTGACACACACACAGTGACACACACACACAGTGACACACACACACACAGTGACACACACACACAGTGACACACACACAGTGACACACACACAGTGACACACACAGTGACACACACAGTGACACACACACAGTGACACACACAGTGACACACACACACAGTGACACACACACAGTGACACACACACAGTGACACACACAGTGCCACACACACAGTGCCACACACACAGTGACACACACACAGTGACACACACACAGTGACACACACAGTGACACACACACAGTGACACACACAGTGACACACACAGTGACACACACACACACAGTGACACACACACAGTGACACACACACAGTGACACACACACACACAGTGACACACACAGTGACACACACACAGTGAGACACACAGTGACACACACAGTGACACACACACAGTAACACACACAGTGACACACACACAGTAACACACACACAGTAACACACACACACACACACAGTGACACACACACACAGTGACACACACACAGTGACACACACACAGTGACACACACACACACAGTGACACACACAGCGACACACACACAGTGAGACACACAGTGACACACACAGTGACACACAGTGACACACACACACAGTGACACACACAGTGACACACACACAGTGCCACACACACAGTGCCACACACACAGTGACACACACACAGTGACACACACACAGTGACACACACAGTGACACACACACAGTGACACACACAGTGACACACACAGTGACACACACACACACAGTGACACACACACAGTGACACACACACAGTGACACACACACACACAGTGACACACACAGTGACACACACACAGTGAGACACACAGTGACACACACAGTGACACACACACAGTAACACACACAGTGACACACACACAGTAACACACACACAGTAACACACACACACACACACAGTGACACACACACACAGTGACACACACACAGAGACACACACACAGAGACACACACACACACAGTGACACACACAGCGACACACACACAGTGAGACACACAGTGACACACACAGTGACACACAGTGACACACACACACACAGTGACACACACACACAGTGACACACACAGTGACACACACACACAGTGACACACACACACACAGTGATACACACACAGTGACACACACACACAGTGATACACACACAGTGACACACACACACAGTGATACACACACAGTGACACACAGTGACACACACACACAGTGACACACACACAGTGACACACACACACAGTGACACACACACACAGTGACACACACACACACAGTGACACACACACAGTGACACACACAGTGACACACACACACAGTGACACACAGTGACACACACACAGTGACACACACACACAGTGACACACACACACAGTGACACACACACAGTGACACACACAGTGACACACACACAGTGACACACACACACACACAGTGACACACACACAGTGACACACACACAGTGAGACACAGTGACACACACAGTGACACACACACAGTGACATACACACAGTGACACAAAGACAAAGATCCCCCGTATAGCCTTAACAGACTGTAGGGGCAAGTGCTGTTAGCGAGCACCTATGAAGGCCGGAACGGTACACGAGGGGGTGGGTGGCCAGCACCACGCCCGACCGCCTTTGTCTCCCTAGTGGCAATGTTTACACACCACACCAGGTACTCATTTGAGGCTGAGTCGACCTAGGGGAGGCCCGGGACTGGTTCAGATAATCGTCACTGGTGTTGGCCGTGAGCGGGAATCGAACCCGGGTCGCCAGGTTCATAGCGCAGCGCGCTAACCGCTACACTACCGCTCCCCACAAGTGACACACACACACAGTGACACACACACAGTGACACACAGTGACACACACACAGTGACACACACACAGTGACACACACAGTGACACACACACACACAGAGTGACACACACACACACAGTGACACACACACAGACACACACACAGTGACACACACACACAGTGACACACACACACAGTGACACACACACAGTGACACACACAGTGACACACACACAGTGACACACACAGTGACACACACAGTGACACACACACAGTGACACACAGTGACACACACAGTGACACACACACACACAGTGACACACACAGTGACACACACAGTGACACACACACAGTGACACACACGCAGTGACACACACAGTGACACACACAGTGACACACGCAGTGACACACGCAGTGACACACGCAGTGACTGACACACAGTGACACACGCAGTGACAAACACAGTGACACACACACAGTGACACACGCAGTGACACACAGTGACACACACACAGTGACACACACAGTGACACACACAGTGACACACACACAGTGACACGCACGCAGTGACACACACACAGTGACACACACACTGACACACACACAGTGACACACACATTGACACACACAGTGACACACACACACAGTGACACACAGTGACACACACACACAGTGACACACACAGTGACACACACACACAGTGACACACACACAGTGACACACAGTGATACACACACAGTGATACACACAGTGACACACACACTGACACACACACAGTGACACACAGTGACACACACACAGTGACACACACACACAGTGACACACACACAGTGACACACACACAGTGACACACACAGTGACACACACACAGTGGCACACACACAGTGACACACACACAGTGGCACACACACAGTGACACACACACAGTGACACACACACAGTGACACACACACAGTGACACACACAGTGACACACAGTGACACACACACAGTGACACACACACAGTGACACAAACACAGTGACACACACAGTGACACACACACACAGTGACACACACACGCAGTGACACACACAGTGACACACACACACAGTGACACACACATGCAGTGACACACGCAGTGACACACACACAGTGACACACACACAGTGACACACACACACAGTGACACACACACACAGTGACACACACACACAGTGACACACACAGTGACACACACACAGTGACACACACACAGTGACACACACAGTGACACACACACAGTGACACACACACAGTGACACACACACACAGTGACACACACACACAGTGACACACACACACACAGTGACACACACACAGTGACACACACAGTGACACACACACACAGTGACACACAGTGACACACACACAGTGACACACACAGTGACACACACACACAGTGACACACACACACACAGTGACACACACACACAGTGACACACACAGTGACACACACAGTGACACACATAGTGACACACACAGTGACACACATAGTGACACACACAGTGACACACACACACAGTGACACACACAGTGACACACACACAGTGACACACACAGTGACACACACACAGTGACACACATAGTGACACACACAGTGACACACACACACAGTGACACACACAGTGACACACACACACACACAGTGACACACACAGTGACACACACACACACAGTGACACACACAGTGACACACACACACAGTGACACACACACAGTGACACACACAGTGACACACACACACAGTGACACACAGTGACACACACACAGTGACACACACAGTGACACACACACACAGTGACACACACACACAGTGACACACACACACACAGTGACACACACACACACAGTGACACACATAGTGACACACACAGTGACACACACACACAGTGACACACACAGTGACACACACACACAGTGACACACACACAGTGACACACACAGTGACACACACACAGTGACACACACAGTGACACACACACAGTGACACACACACAGTGACACACAGTGACACACACACACAGTGACACACAGTGACACACACACAGTGACACACACACACAGTGACACACACACACAGTGACACACACACACAGTGACACACACACAGTGACACACATAGTGACACACACAGTGACACACACATTGACACACACACACAGCGACACACACACACAGTGACACACACAGTGACACACACACACAGTGACACACACAGTGACACACACACACAGTGACACACACACACAGTGACACACACACAGTGACACACATAGTGACACACACAGCGACACACATAGTGACACACACAGTGACACACACACACAGTGACACACACACACACAGTGACACGATGATGATGGTGATGACGGCGATGATGGCGATGACGGCGATGATGATGATAGCGATGATGACGGCGATGATGGCGATCATGATGGCGATGATGGCGATGATGATGATGGCAATCCTGATGACGACGATGGCGATGATGTTGATGATGATGACAATGATGGCGATCATGATGACGATGATGGCGATCATGATGACGATGATGGCGATCATGATGGCGATGATGGCGATGATGTTGATGATGATGACGATGATGGCGATGATGTTGATGATGATGGCGATGATGTTGATGATGATGACGATGATGGCGATCATGATGACGACGATGGCGATGACGTTGATGATGACGACGATGTTGATGATGGCGACCATGATGACGATGGCGGCGATGATGTTGATGATGATGACGATGATGTTGATGGCGATGATGTTGATGGCGATGATGTTGATGATGATGACGATGATGGCGATCATGATGACGATGGCGGTGATGATGTTGATGATGATGACGATGATGATGACGATGTTGATGATGATGGCGATCATGATGATGATGACGACGACGACGGCGATGGTCGCACATCCCCCAACTCACTTGGGCAGGAGGTTTTTGTTCTTCTCGTAGAAGAGACGCAGCTCCTGCGGACTGTTCGCCTGTACACAGCCACAGACAGAGAGAGCCCAGGTAGGCTCCAGCAACACCGTCAAGGTGAACCCCACCCACACACACACACCTACTCACCCACACACACCCACACACCCACACACACCCACACATACACCCACCCACACACACCTACTCACCCACACACACCCACACACCCACACACACCCACACATACACCCACCCACACACACACCCACATACACCCACCCACACACACACCCACACACCCACCCACACACACCTACTCACCCACACACACCCACCCACCCACACACCAACCCACCCACACACCCACCCACACACACCCACCCACTCACCCACCCACACACTCACCCACACACCCACACACACACCTACTCACCCACACACCCACACACACTCACCCACACACCCACACACACTCACCCACACACCCACACACTCAACCACACACCCACACACCCACACACCCACACCCACCCCCATACACCCACACACACACCCACACACACACCAACACACCCACCCACACACACCTACTCACCCACACACCCACACACCCACCCACACACACACACACCCACACACTCACCCACACACACCCACCCACACACCCACACACTCACCCACACACACACACCTACACACACCCACACCCACCCACTCACCCACTCACTCACCCACACACCCACACACTCACCCACACACCCAGACCCACCCCCATACACCCACACACACACCCACACACACACCCACACACACACCCACACACACACCCACACACACACCCACACACACACACACTCAACCACCCACACACCCACCCACACACCCACCCACACACACCCACTCACCCACACACACCCACTCACCCACACTCACCCACACACACACACCCACCCACCCACACACCCACCCACCCACCCACACACCCATACACCCACACACCCACCCACACACACTCACCCACACACCCACCCACACACTCACCCACACCCCCACCCCCATACACCCACACACACACCCACACACACCCACACACACACCCACACCCACACACACACCCACACACACACACACACCCACTCACACACACACACACCCACCCACCCACACACACCTACTCACCCACACCCACCCACCCACACACCCACTCACCCACACACTCACCCACACACACCCACCCACCCACACACCCACCCACCCACACACCCACACACACTCACCCACGCACCCACACACACTCACCCACACACCCACACACACTCACCCACACACACCCACACACCCACCCACACACACCCACACACCCACCCACACACTCACCCACACACTCACCCACACACCCACCCACCCACACACACCAACACACCCACCCACACACACCTACTCACCCACACACACCCACCCACACACACACACTCACCCACACACACACATCCACCCACCCACACACTCACCCACACACCCACACACACACACCTACTCACCCACACACCCACACCCACCCCCATACACCCACACACACACCCACACACACCCACACACCCACACACCCACACACCCACACACCCACCCACTCACCCACACACTCACCCACACACCCACACACTCACACACCCACACACACACCCACCCACACCCATCACCACCCACACACCCACACACACACACCCACCCACCCACTCACCCACACCCACCCACCCACACACACTCACCCACTCACCCACACACCCACACACCCACCCACACACCCACCCACACACCAACACACCCACACACCCACCCACTCACCCACAGACCCACACACTCACCCACCCACACACCCACACCCATACACCCACACACCCACCCACCCACACACCCACCCACACACCCACACACACTCACCCACCCACCCACACACCCACACACTCACACACCCACACAACCACACACCCACACACACACCCACACACCCACCCACACACCCACACACCCACCCACACACCCACCCAACCACCCACCCAACCACCCACACACCCACCCACACACCCACTCACCCACCCACCCACACACCCACACACCCACCCACTCACCCACACACCCACACACTCACCCACTCACCCACACACTCACCCACTCACCCACACACTCACCCACACACACACACACCCACCCACCCACCCACACACCCACTCACCCACACACTCACCCACACACCCACACACACACCCACTCACCCACACACCTACCCACCCACCCACTCACCCACACCCACACACACACCCACCCACCCACACACCCACTCACCCACACACACACACACACACCCACACACACACCCACTCACCCACACACCTACCCACCCACCCACTCACCCACACCCACACACACACCCACCCACCCACACACCCACACACACTCACCCACACACTCACCCACCCACACACCCACACACTCACCCACACACCCACACATCCACCCACACACCTACCCACCCACCCACTCACCCACTCACCCACACACCTACCCACCCACCCACTCACCCACACCCACCCACACCCACACATCTACCCACCCACCCACACACCCACCCACACACCCACCCACCCACACACCCACCCACCCACACCCACCCACCTGGAAAGGTGCCCTGCCCGTGAGGCACTGGAACACGATGGTGCCGACACTCCATAGGTCGGCCTTGGCATCGTAGTGCTGGGACATGATCACTTCTGGGGCCTGGGGGGGGAGGGGGGTGAGGGGGGGTGAGGGGGTGGGGGGGTGAGGGGGTGGGGGGGTGGGAGGGTGGGGGGACAGTGGGGGGGGGGGTCAAGGTCAATCGGTCTAGAGGCTGTGGTTGTGGTGGTGGTGTTTGTGGTTGTGATGGTGGTGTTTGTGGTTGTGATGGTGGTGTTTGTGGTTGTGGTGTTTGTGGTGGTGGTGGTGTTTGTGGTTGTGATGGTGGTGTTTGTGGTTGTGGTGTTTGTGGTGGTGGTGGTGGTGTTTGTGGTTGTGGTGTTTGTGGTGGTGGTGTTTGTGGTTGTGGTGTTTGTGGTGGTGGTGGTGTTTGTGGTTGTGATGGTGGTGTTTGTGGTTGTGGTGTTTGTGGTGGTGGTGGTGTTTGTGGTTGTGGTGTTTGTGGTGGTGGTGTTTGTGGTTGTGGTGTTTGTGGTTGTGGTGGTGGTTGTGGTGGTGGTGGTTGTGGTGGTGGTGTTTGTGTTTGTGGTGGTGGTGTTTGTGGTTGTGGTGGTGGTGTTTGTGGTGGTGGTGGTGTTTGTGGTTGTGGTGGTGGTGTTTGTGGTGGTGGTGGTGGTGTTTGTGGTTGTGGTGTTTGTGGTTGTGGTGGTGGTGTTTGTGGTGGTGGTGTTTGTGGTTGTGGTGGTGGTGTTTGTGGTTGTGGTGGTGGTGTTTGTGGTTGTGGTGTTTGTGGTGGTGGTGTTTGTGGTTGTGGTGTTTGTGGTTGTGGTGTTTGTGGTGGTGGTGGTGGTGGTGGTGTTTGTGGTTGTGGTGTTTGTGGTGGTGGTGTTTGTGGTTGTGGTGGTGGTGGTTGTGGTGGTGGTGGTGGTGTTTGTGGTTGTGGTGTTTGTGGTGGTGGTGTTTGTGGTTGTGGTGGTGTTTGTGGTGGTGGTGGTGTTTGTGGTTGTGGTGGTGGTGTTTGTGGTGGTGGTGGTGTTTGTGGTTGTGGTGTTTGTGGTTGTGGTGGTGGTGTTTGTGGTTGTGGTGTTTGTGGTTGTGGTGGTGGTGTTTGTGGTTGTGGTGGTGGTGTTTGTGGTTGTGGTGTTTGTGGTGGTGGTGGTGGTGTTTGTGGTTGTGGTGTTTGTGGTGGTGGTGTTTGTGGTTGTGGTGGTGGTGGTTGTGGTGGTGGTGTTTGTGTTTGTGGTGGTGGTGTTTGTGGTTGTGGTGGTGGTGTTTGTGGTGGTGGTGGTGTTTGTGGTTGTGGTGGTGGTGTTTGTGGTGGTGGTGTTTGTGGTTGTGGTGTTTGTGGTTGTGGTGGTGGTGTTTGTGGTTGTGGTGTTTGTGGTTGTGGTGGTGGTGTTTGTGGTGGTGGTGTTTGTGGTTGTGGTGGTGGTGTTTGTGGTTGTGGTGTTTGTGGTGGTGGTGGTGGTGTTTGTGGTTGTGGTGTTTGTGGTGGTGGTGTTTGTGGTTGTGGTGGTTGTGGTGGTGGTGTTTGTGTTTGTGGTGGTGGTGTTTGTGGTTGTGGTGGTGGTGTTTGTGGTGGTGGTGGTGTTTGTGGTTGTGGTGGTGGTGTTTGTGGTGGTGGTGGTGGTGTTTGTGGTTGTGGTGTTTGTGGTTGTGGTGGTGGTGTTTGTGGTTGTGGTGTTTGTGGTTGTGGTGGTGGTGTTTGTGGTTGTGGTGGTGGTGTTTGTGGTTGTGGTGGTGGTGTTTGTGGTTGTGGTGATGTTTGTGGTTGTGATGGTGGTGGTGTTTGTGGTTGTGATGGTGGTGGTGTTTGTGGTGGTGGTGTTTGTGGTGTTTGTGGTTGTGGTGGTGGTGTTTGTGGTTGTGGTGGTGGTGTTTGTGGTTGTGGTGGTGGTGGTGGTGTTTGTGGTTGTGGTGGTGGTGGTGTTTGTGGTTGTGGTGGTGTTTGTGGTGGTGGTGGTGTTTGTGTTAGTGGTGTTTGTGGTTGTGATGGTGGTGTTTGTGGTTGTGGTGGTGTTTGTGTTTGTGGTGGTTGTGGTGGTGGTGTTTGTGGTTGTGGTGGTGGTGTTTGTGGTTGTGGTGGTGGTGTTTGTGGTTGTGGTGGTGGTGTTTGTGGTGGTGGTGTTTGTGGTTGTGGTGGTTGTGGTGGTGTTTGTGGTGGTGTTTGTGGTGGTGTTTGTGGTTGTGGTGGTTGTGGTGGTGTTTGTGGTTGTGGTGGTGGTGTTTGTGGTTGTGGTGGTGGTGGTGGTGGTTGTGGTGGTGGTGTTTGTGGTTGTGGTGTTTGTGGTTGTGGTGGTGGTGTTTGTGGTTGTGGTGGTGGTGGTGGTGGTTGTGGTGGTGGTTCTTGTAGTGGTAGTTGTAGTTGTGGTAGGAGCGGTTGTTGTTGTGGTTGTTGTTGTTACTCACCATGTACATGGGAGATCCACACAGCGTTGTGACTGTGGTAGTACTGGTTGTGGTAGTTGTTGTTGTGGTTGTTGTTGTAGTTGTTGTAGTGGTTGTTGTGGTGGTTGATGTTGTAGTAGTTGTTGTCGTTGTGGTGGTTGTTGTCGTGGTTGTGGTTGTTGTTGTAGTAGTTGTTGTTGTGGTTTTTGTTGCTGTTGTGGTTGTTGTAGTTGTTGTTGTTACTCACCATGTACATGGGAGATCCACACAGCGTTGTGACTGTGGTAGTACTGGTTGTTGTTGTAGTAGTAGTTGTTGTGGTTGTTGTAGTTGTTGTTGTGTTTGTTGTTGTTGTTACTCACCATGTACATGGGAGATCCACACAGCGTTGTGACTGTGGTAGTACTGGTTGTTGTAGTGGTTGCAGTGGTTGTTGTTGTAGTTGTAGTGGTTGTTGTTGTAGTTGTTCTTGTTGTTGTAGTAGTTGTTGTTGTAGTAGTTGTTGTTGTTGTGGTTGTTGTTGTTACTCACCATGTACATGGGAGATCCACACAGCATTGTGACTGTGGTAGTACTGGTTGTGGTAGTTGTAGTTGTTGCAGTACTGGTTGTGGTAGTACTGGTTGTGGTAGTGGTTGTTGTTGTAGTTGTAGTTGTTGTAGTTGTTGTTGTGGTTGTTGTGGTTGTTGTTGTTGTAGTTGTTGTTGTGGTTGTTGTAGTTGTTGTTGTGGTTGTTGTAGTTGTAGTTGTTACTCACCATGTACATGGGAGATCCACACAGCGTTGTGACTGTGGTAGTACTGGTTGTGGTAGTGGTTGTTGTGGTTGTAGTAGTTGTTGTAGTTGTGGTTGTTGTAGTCGTTGTAGTTGTTGTGGTTGTTGTAGTTGTAGTTGTTGTTGTTACTCACCATGTACATGGGGGATCCACACAGCGTTGTGACTGTGGTAGTACTGGTTGTTGTAGTAGTAGTTGTTGTAGTTGTAGTAGTTGTTGTTGTTGTGGTTGTTGTTGTTGTTACTCACCATGTACATGGGAGATCCACACAGCGTTGTGACTGTGGTAGTACTGGTTGTGGTAGTTGTTGTTGTGGTTGTTGTAGTGGTTGTTGTAGTGGTTGTTGTAGTTGTTGTGGTGGTTGTTGTAGTTGTTGTTGTGGTTGTTGTTGTTGTTATTCACCATGTACATGGGAGATCCACACAGCGTTGTGACTGTGGTAGTACTGGTTGTGGTAGTTGTAGTTGTTGTAGTACTGGTTGTGGTAGTGGTTGTTGTTGTTGTGGTTGTTGTGGTTGTTGTTGTTGTAGTTGTGGTTGTAGTAGTTGTTGTGGTAGTAGTGGTTGTTGTAGTTGTTGTTGTAGTTGTTGTTGTTGTAGTGGTTGTTATAGTGGTTGTTGTTGTAGTTGTTGTGGTGGTTGTTGTAGTTATTGTTGTGGTTGTTGTTGTTACTCACCATGTACATGGGAGAGCCACACAGCGTTGTGACTGTAGTAGTACTGGTTGTGGTAGTGGTTGTTGTGGTAGTGGTTGTTGTTGTGGTTGTAGTTGTTGTAGTTGTAGTAGTTGTTGTAGTGGTTGTTGTTGTGGTTGTAGTTGTTGTTGTTGTTACTCACCATGTACATGGGAGAGCCACACAGCGTTGTGACTGTGGTAGTACTGGTTGTGGTGGTTGTTGTGGTGGTTGTGGTGGTTGTAGTTGTTGTTGTAGTTGTTGTAGTGGTTGTAGTTGTTGTTGTGGTTGTTGTAGTTGTTGTAGTAGTTGTTGTTGTGGTTGTGGTTGTTGTTGTTACTCACCATGTACATGGGGGATCCACACAACATTGTGACTGTGGTAGTACTGGTTGTTGTAGTAGTAGTAGTTGTTGTAGTTGTAGTAGTTGTTGTTGTTGTTGTGGTTGTTGGTGTTGTTACTCACCATGTACATGGGAGATCCACACAGCGTTGTGACTGTGGTAGTACTGGTTGTTGGTGTAGTAGTTGTTGTAGTACTGGTTGTGGTAGTACTGGTTGTGGTGGTTGTTGTGGTGGTTGTGGTGGTTGTAGTTGTTGTTGTAGTTGTTGTAGTGGTTGTAGTTGTTGTTGTGGTTGTTGTAGTTGTTGTAGTAGTTGTTGTTGTGGTTGTGGTTGTTGTTGTTACTCACCATGTACATGGGGGATCCACACAACATTGTGACTGTGGTAGTACTGGTTGTTGTAGTAGTAGTAGTTGTTGTAGTTGTAGTAGTTGTTGTTGTTGTTGTGGTTGTTGGTGTTGTTACTCACCATGTACATGGGAGATCCACACAGCGTTGTGACTGTGGTAGTACTGGTTGTTGGTGTAGTAGTTGTTGTAGTACTGGTTGTGGTAGTACTGGTTGTGGTAGTGGTTGTTGTTGTAGTTGTAGTTGTTGTAGTTGTTGTTGTGGTTGTTGTAGTTGTTGTTGTGGTTGTTGTAGTTGTTGTTGTGGTTGTTGTAGTTATAGTTGTTGTTGTTACTCACCATGTACATGGGAGATCCACACAGCGTTGTGACTGGTAGTACTGATTGTGGTAGTAGTAGTTGTTGTTGTAGTAGTTGTAGTGGTTGTTGTTGTAGTTGTGGTTGTAGTAGTTGCTGTGGTAGTAGTGGTTGTTGTAGTTGTTGTTGTTGTTACTCACCATGTACATGGGAGATCCACACAGCGTTGTGACTGTGGTAGTACTGGTTGTGGTAGTGGTTGTTGTGGTTGTAGTAGTTGTTGTAGTTGTTGTTGTTGTAGTTGTTGTTGTGGTTGTTGTAGTTGTTGTTGTGGTTGTTGTAGTTGTTGTTGTGGTTGTTGTAGTTGTTGTTGTTACTCACCATGTACATGGGGGATCCACACAGCGTTGTGACTGTGGTAGTACTGGTTGTGGTAGTAGTTGTAGTTGTAGTAGTTGTTGTTGTGGTTGTTGTTGTAGTAGTTGTTGTGGTGGTTGTTGTGGTGGTTGTTGTGGTGGTTGTGGTTGTTGTCGTGGTTGTTGTTGTTGTTGTTACTCACCATGTACATGGGAGATCCACACAGCGTTGTGACTGTGGTAGTACTGGTTGTGGTAGTGGTTGTTGTGGTTGTAGTAGTTGTTGTAGTTGTTGTTGTAGTTGTTGTTGTGGTTGTTGTAGTTGTTGTTGTGGTTGTTGTAGTTGTTGTTGTGGTTGTTGTAGTTGTTGTTGTGGTTGTTGTAGTTGTTGTTGTTACTCACCATGTACATGGGGGATCCACACAGCGTTGTGACTGTGGTAGTACTGGTTGTGGTAGTAGTTGTTGTTGTAGTTGTAGTAGTTGTTGTTGTGGTTGTTGTTGTAGTAGTTGTTGTGGTGGTTGTTGTGGTGGTTGTTGTGGTGGTTGTGGTTGTTGTCGTGGTTGTTGTTGTTGTTGTTGTTACTCACCATGTACATGGGAGATCCACACAGCGTTGTGACTGTGGTAGTACTGGTTGTGGTAGTTGTTGTTGTGGTTGTTGTTGTAGTTGTTGTTGTAGTGGTTGTTGTGGTTGTTGTAGTTGTTGTTGTGGTTGTTGTTGTTGTTACTCACCATGTACATGGGAGATCCACACAGCGTTGTGACTGTGGTAGTACTGGTTGTGGTAGTGGTTGTTGTTGTTGTTGTTGTGGTTGTTGTTGTTGTAGTTGTGGTTGTAGTAGTTGTTGTGGTAGTAGTGGTTGTTGTAGTTGTTGTGGTTGTTGTTGTTACTCACCATGTACATGGGAGATCCACACAGCGTTGTGACTGTGGTAGTACTGGTTGTGGTAGTTGTAGTGGTTGTTGTTGTTGTTGTGGTTGTTGTGGTTGTGGTTGTTGTTGTTGTTACTCACCATGTACATGGGAGATCCACACAGCGTTGCTGCCATTGTGTTGCTCTGCAGGTAGCGGGCAAATCCAAAGTCCGCTGCAACATCAACAACAATACAACAACAATACAACAACATCAACACAACATCAACACAACATCAATACATCAACAACAATACAACATCAACAACAATACAACAACATCAACACATCAACAACACAACATCAACACATCAACAACAATACAACAACATCAACACATCATCAACACAACATCATCAACACATCATCAACACAACATCATCAACACATCATCAACACAACATCATCAACAACATCAACACATCATCAACACAACATCAACACATCATCAACACATCAACACAAAAAAATCAACACCGTAACATCTACACATCAACAACAACCACCATAACCACCCACACCACCAAAACCACCACCACTCACCACCCACACCACCCACCACCACTCACAACCCACACCAACACCACCACCACCCACAGCATCACCACGACCATCACCACTATCGCCACAACCACCCACCACCACCCACTACCACCACCAGCATCACCACCCACCAGCATCACCACCCACCAGCATCACCACCCACCACCATCAGCACCATCACCATCATCACCACCCACCACCATCATCACCACCACCACCATCATCATCACCACGACCATCACCACCACCATTACCACCACCATCATCACCACCACCATCACCACCACCATCACCACCACCACCACCATCACCACCACCATCACCACCACCACCACCATCACCACCACCATCACCACCACCACCATCACCACCACCATCACCACCACCACCACCATCACCACCACCACCATCACCACCACCACCACCATCACCACCATCACCACCACCATTACCACCACCACCATCACCACCATCACCACCACCATCACCACCACCACCACCATCACCACCACCATCACCACCACCATCACCACCACCATCACCACCACCACCATCACCACCACCATCACCACCACCACCACCATCACCACCATCACCACCACCATCACCACCACCATCACCACCATCACCACCACCATCACCACCACCATCACCACCACCATCACCACCACCACCATCACCACCACCATCACCACCACCACCATCACCACCATCATCACCACCATCACCACAACCACCATCACCACAACCACCACCACCACCACCATCACCACCACCACCACCACCACCCACAACCACCACCACCATCATCACCACCACCACCACCACCCACCGATCTTAATCCTCTTCATCGCCGTACCACTCCTGCAACTGGCTGAGCCGGCCGCGTCTGCCGACGAGGCCGAAGCCGCCGAGGTGGCGACGGGCGGCGACGAGGCGGCGCCGCGGTGGACGACGCCAGCGGACGACGAGGAGGTGGACGAGGAGGAGGAAGAGGAGGAGGACGAGGAGGAGGAGGAGGGAGCGATGTTCTGCACGAGGATGTTCTGCGGCTTGAGGTCACGGTGGATGATGCCCTTGCCGTGAAGCACACGCATCGCTGACGCTATTTGTTGCAGGAAGAAGCGGATGGTGTCCTCGCTCAGAGTGCCCTTCACTGGGGGGGGGGGAGAGGGGAGGTGACGTCACTCAGTGTCCTTCACTGGGGGGGTGGTGACGTCACTCAGTGTCCTTCACTGGGGGGGGAGGGGGGGTGACGTCACTCAGTGTCCTTCACTGGGGGATGGTGTCCTCGCTCAGAGTGCCCTTCACTGGGGGGGGGGGAGAGGGAGGGTGACGTCACTCAGTGTCCTTCACTGGGGGGAGAGGGGGGGGTGACGTCACTCAGTCTCCTTCACTGGGGGGAGAGGGGGGGTGACGTCACTCAGTCTCCTTCACTGGGGGATGGTGTCCTCGCTCAGAGTGCCCTTCACTGGGGGTGGGGAGAGGGGAGGTGACGTCACTCAGTGTCCTTCACTGGGGGATGGTGTCCTCGCTCAGAGTGCCCTTCACTGGGGGGGGGGAGAGGGGTGGTGACGTCACTCAGTGTCCTTCACTGGGGGGGTGGTAACGTCACTCAGTGTCCTTCACTGGGGGTGGTGTCCTCGCTCAGAGTGCCCTTCACTGGGGGGGGGAGAGGGGAGGTGACGTCACTCAGTGTCCTTCACTGGGGGGAGAGGGAGGGTGACGTCACTCAGTGTCCTTCACTGGGGGGGTGGTGACGTCACTCAGTGTCCTTCACTGGGGGGGGAGGGTGACGTCACTCAGTGTCCTTCACTGGAGGGGGAGAGGGGGTGACGTCACTCAGTGTCCTTCACTGGGGGGTGGTGACGTCACTTAGAGTGCCCTTCACTGGGGGGGGAGGGGGGATAGTGACGTCACTCAGTGCCCTTCACTGGGGGGAGAGGGAGGTGACGTCACTCAGTGTCCTTCACTGGGGATGGTGTCCTCGCTCAGAGTGCCCTTCACTGGGGGGGGGGGAGAGGGAGGGTGACGTCACTCAGTGTCCTTCACTGGGGGGGAGAGGGGGGGTGACGTCACTCAGTCTCCTTCACTGGGGGGAGAGGGGGGGTGACGTCACTCAGTCTCCTTCACTGGGGGATGGTGTCCTCGCTCAGAGTGCCCTTCACTGGGGGTGGGGAGAGGGGAGGTGACGTCACTCAGTGTCCTTCACTGGGGGATGGTGTCCTCGCTCAGAGTGCCCTTCACTGGGGGGGGGGAGAGGGGTGGTGACGTCACTCAGTGTCCTTCACTGGGGGGGTGGTAACGTCACTCAGTGTCCTTCACTGGGGGTGGTGTCCTCGCTCAGAGTGCCCTTCACTGGGGGGGGGAGAGGGGAGGTGACGTCACTCAGTGTCCTTCACTGGGGGGAGAGGGAGGGTGACGTCACTCAGTGTCCTTCACTGGGGGGGTGGTGACGTCACTCAGTGTCCTTCACTGGGGGGGGAGGGTGACGTCACTCAGTGTCCTTCACTGGAGGGGGAGAGGGGGTGACGTCACTCAGTGTCCTTCACTGGGGGGTGGTGACGTCACTTAGAGTGCCCTTCACTGGGGGGGGGAGGGGGGATAGTGACGTCACTCAGTGCCCTTCACTAGGGGGGGAGGGGGGATAGTGACGTCACTCAGAGTGTCCTTCACTGGGGGGGGGAGGGGATGATGACGTCACTCAGTATCCTTCACTGGGGGGGGGAGGGGGGATAGTGACGTCGCTCAGTGTCCTTCACTGGGGGGGGAGGGGGGGTGGTGACGTCACTCAGTGTCCTTCACTGGGGGGGGAGGGGGGGTGGTGATGTCACTCAGTGTCCTTCACTGGGGGGGAGGGGAGAGGTGGTGACGTCACTCAGAGTGTCCTTCACTGGGGGGGGGGGGATGGTGACGTCACTCAGAGTGTCCTTCACTGGGGGGGAGGGGGGTGGTGACGTCACTCAGAGTGTCCTTCACTGGGGGTGGTGTCCTCACTCAGAGTGCCCTTCACTGGGGGGGAGGGGGGAGGTGGTGACGTCACTCAGTGTCCTTCACTGGGGGTGGTGGTGACGTCACTAAGTGTCCTTCACTGGGGGGGGAGGGGGGAGGTGACGTCACTCAGTGTCCTTCACTGGGGGGGGAGGGGGGAGGTGGTGACGTCACTCAGTGTCCTTCACTGGGGGGGGGAGGGGGGGTGGTGACGTCACTCAGAGTGCCCTTCACTGCGGGGGAGGGGGTAGTGACGTCACTCAGTGTCCTTCACTGGGGGGGGGAGGGGGTGATGACGTCACTCAGAGTGTCCTTCACTGGGGAGGGGGGGGTGGTGACGTCACTCAGTGTCCTTCACTGGGGGATGGTGGCGTCACTCAGAGTGCCCTTCACTGGGGGGATGGTGACGTCACTTAGTGTCCTTCACTGGGGGGGTGGTGACGTCACTCAGAGTGTCCTTCACTGGGGAGGGGGGTGGTGACGTCACTCAGGGTGCCCTTCACTGGGGGGGTGGTGACGTCACTCAGAGTGTCCTTCACTGGGGAGGGGGGTGTTGACGTCACTCAGTGTCCTTCACTGGGGGGGTGGTGACGTCACTCAGTGTCCTTCACTGGGGGGGTGGTGACGTCACTCAGAGTGTCCTTCACTGGGGGATGGTGACGTCACTCAGAGTGCCCTTCACTGGGGGCATGGTGACGTCACTTAGTGTCCTTCACAGGGGGGGTGGTGACGTCACTCAGAGTGTCCTTCACTGGGGAGGGGGGTGGTGACGTCACTCAGGGTGCCCTTCACTGGGGGGGTGGTGACGTCACTCAGAGTGTCCTTCACTGGGGAGGGGGTGGTGACGTCACTCAGAGTGTCCTTCACTGGGGGGGTGGTGACGTCACTCAGTGTCCTTCACTGGGAAGGGGGGGAGGTGGTGACGTCACTCAGAGTGTCCTTCACTGGGGGGGTGGTGACGTCACTCAGAGAGTCCTTCAATGGGGAGGGGGGGTGGTGACGTCACTCAGAGTGTCCTTCACTGGGGGAGTGGTGACGTCACTCAGTGTCCTTCACTGGGGGGGGGGGGGGGGGGGTGGTGACGTCACTCAGAGTGTCCTTCAGTGGGGGGGTGGTGGCGTCACTCAGAGTGTCCTTCACTGGGGAGGGGGGTGGTGACGTCACTCAGGGTGCCCTTCACTGGGGGGGTGGTGACGTCACTCAGAGTGTCCTTCACTGGGGAGGGGGTGGTGACGTCACTCAGAGTGTCCTTCACTGGGGGGGTGGTGACGTCACTCAGGGTCCTTCACTGGGAAGGGGGGGAGGTGGTGACGTCACTCAGAGTGTCCTTCACTGGGGGGGGTGGTGACGTCACTCAGAGAGTCCTTCAATGGGGAGGGGGGGTGGTGACGTCACTCAGAGTGTCCTTCACTGGGGGGGTGGTGACGTCACTCAGTGTCCTTCACTGGGGGGGGGGGGGGGTGGTGACGTCACTCAGAGTGTCCTTCAGTGGGGGGGTGGTGGCGTCACTCAGAGTGTCCTTCACTGGGGGGGTGGTGACGTCACTTAGAGTGTCCTTCACTGGGGGGGTGGTGACGTCACTCAGAGTGTCCTTCACTGGGGAGGGGGGTGGTGACGTCACTCAGAGTGTCCTTCACTGGGGGATGGTGACGTCACTCAGAGAGTCCTTCACTGGGGGGGGGGGGAGGTGGTGACGTCAGAGTGTCCTTCACTGGGGGATGGTGACGTCACTCAGAGTGTCCTTCACTGGGGAGGGGGGTGGTGACGTCACTCAGAGTGTCCTTCACTGGGGGATGGTGACGTCACTCAGAGTGTCCTTCACTGGGGGGGTGGTGACGTCACTCAGTGTCCTTCACTGGGGGGGGGGGGACGTCACTTAGAGTGTCCTTCACTGGGGGGGTGGTGACGTCACTCAGTGTCCTTCACTGGGGGGGGGGGGGGGGGGGGGGGGGGTGACGTCACTCAGAGTGTCCTTCACTGGGGAGGGGGGTGGTGACGTCACTTAGAGTGTCCTTCACTGGGGGGGTGGTGACGTCACTCAGAGTGTCCTTCACTGGGGGGGTGGTGACGTCACTTAGAGTGTCCTTCACTGGGGGGGTGGTGACGTCACTTAGAGTGTCCTTCACTGGGGGGGGGGGGGTGGTGACGTCACTCAGAGTGTCCTTCACTGGGGGGGGGGGGGGCGGGGTGACGTCACTTAGAGTGTCCTTCACTGGGGGGGGGGGGGGGGGGGGGTGGTGACGTCACTCAGAGTGTCCTTCACTGGGGGGGGGGGGTGGTGACGTCACTCAGAGTGTCCTTCACTGGGGGGGGGAGGGGGGTGGTGACGTCACTCAGTGTCCTTAACTGGGGGGGGGGGGAGGGGGGTGGTGACGTCACTCAGAGTGTCCTTCACTGGGGGGGGAGGGGGGTGGTGACGTCACTCAGAGTGTCCTTCACTGGGGGGGGTGGTGACGTCACTCAGAGTGTCCTTCACTGGGGGGGGGGGGGGTGGTGACGTCACTCAAGAGTGTCCTTCACTGGGGGGGGGAGGGGGGTGGTGACGTCACTTAGAGTGTCCTTCACTGGGGGGGGTGGTGACGTCACTTAGAGTGTCCTTCACTGGGGGGGTGGTGACGTCACTTAGAGTGTCCTTCACTGGGGGGGTGGTGACGTCACACAGAGTGTCCTTCACTGGGGGGGTGGTGACGTCACTTAGAGTGTCCTTCACTGGGGGGGTGGTGACGTCACTCAGTGTCCTTCACTGGGGGGGGGGGGGGGGGGGTGGTGACGTCACTCAGAGTGTCCTTCACTGGGGAGGGGGGTGGTGACGTCACTTAGAGTGTCCTTCACTGGGGGGGTGGTGACGTCACTCAGAGTGTCCTTCACTGGGGGGGTGGTGACGTCACTTAGAGTGTCCTTCACTGGGGGGGTGGTGACGTCACTTAGAGTGTCCTTCACTGGGGGGGGTGGTGACGTCACTCAGAGTGTCCTTCACTGGGGGGGTGGTGACGTCACTTAGAGTGTCCTTCACTGGGGGGGGGGGGGTGGTGACGTCACTCAGAGTGTCGTTCAGTGGGGGGGGGGGGGGGGGGGGTGACGTCACTTAGAGTGTCCTTCACTGGGGGGGGGGGGGGGCGGGGGGGGGGGTGGTGACGTCACTCAGAGTGTCCTTCACTGGGGGGGGGGGGGGGGTGGTGACGTCACTCAGAGTGTCCTTCACTGGGGGGAGGGGGTGGTGACGTCACTCAGTGTCCTTAACTGGGGGGGGGGGAGGGGGGTGGTGACGTCACTCAGAGTGTCCTTCACTGGGGGGGGAGGGGGGTGGTGACGTCACTCAGAGTGTCCTTCACTGGGGGGGGTGGTGACGTCACTCAGAGTGTCCTTCACTGGGGGGGGGGGGGGTGGTGACGTTACTCAGAGTGTCCTTCACTGGGGGGGGAGGGGGGTGGTGACGTCACTCAGAGTGTCCTTCACTGGGGGGGGGTGGTGACGTCACTTCGAGTG